AGATAAGAAATTCCCCATGGAAATATCACAGATACTTAAAATAATTTGGAGCAAAAATCCCTGCAGGTTTACTGAAAACACCCCCTTCGACACGCAGAGATTTATTTATCTGCTTTACTGCATTTTGCTTACGTCAAGAGCTGGATTGCTCCTGTACAGCCCCCTCGCCAGGCAGATAATTGCTACATATTCTTTTGTACTGCTGCCACCACCTCCACCATCGGGCGTTTTCCCAAACAATTGCCTGAGCAGCCTCAGAGCAATCCATCTCCCTGCTGACAGTGCTTTGGTATTAGGGGTCTCCTAGGAGCAGGTGAGAGTCTTGCCTCTTTTCTTGAAAATCAAATGAAGTAAATGCAGTGCATTTCTCCTTCATTTTCCAGATAATTAGCAAAGATGTTAAGTGGAGCCAGTGTAGCTTTCTGACAGCTCCAGCCTCTCCTCGATGGTATCTCGTTGGCCATCGTTTCCATACAGACATACCGACCTGAGGTAGTGTCATTTATCTTTACCTTTTGTTTACAGCCACTCAGCCAGTTGTCATTCTGTGTGACAGTGCCTGTATTCAAGCCAATATGAATTTATTTTTCAAGAAAGACTTTCTGAGAGCAAAGCTTATGCCTCACTAAGGACTCAACTAAACTGCATTGCTGGCAAGACCTTTTCCTTCACCATCATCCTTTATATTCATAATTAAACAAATGATAACGTTACCTGATGTTTCTTTTTTTTGTTATTTCCTGCTCAGGGTTTCTTCCACATGCTGATACTTCTGTTTTCAGCTGAATAGTCATTAAAATCTATTGCTATGCATTATGACAATAACATATTTTTAGCGTTCTTTGATTCCTTTCACCTGTCTCCAGCTCCTCAAGATTGGTTTCCTTCTCATATAATGATTTTAAAATATTTTTCTGTTTGCAGATAAATAACAAAGTAGTTTGAAATGAGACAGTAATTTCAATGTAATTTTTTTCAGAGTCACTAGTGAGATAAAAAAAACATTATCTGTAAAGCTCAGACTAGAGAATCTAAGCCACGAGGGTTATGTTGAAAGCATCCTGTGATCTTTAGATGGTAGATGCTGGCACATATATATAGTATATATATGTGTGTGTGTGTTTATATATGCACCCATATGAAAGCATGAGCATATATTCATAAACAAGGGAATTGTGCCACAGGGGCTTGCCCTCAGATGTAGGGCTCCATATAGCTCCTGGAGAGGCATGCAGTCAGCATTATTGTGGATATTATTGCTTTACAGCTTTGGACCCAGGCCAAGACTTAAGCACACAGTTATATTTGAGCATATCAATAGTTGCACCAAGCTTTGCGTGAAAGTTTTCCTTAAGTCTTTCCCAAAAATCTCCCATGAATACACAGTGTGGATTTTGTTACTAACCCTTTTAATAGTACCCCAATCCCCAAACTGTCTTTTGTTTAGGCAACCATTGTGATGTAATGCATGTGAGTATTACAGTGGTATATAGGATTCTGAGGGCAGTAGTTACACAGCTCTTGGAGATGGTGTTCTTGCTGCCATACCTGGCAATATCAGGATAGGGAAATTCAGTTCCAACCCTTCTATGGTGGGCATGGATCCAGCAACCTGGCCCTGATCCTTCACCCTGAGGCCATATCTCAGTTTTGCCTGCCTCCTGAGTCAGGTTGGGCTGCCTTTGCCCTTATCTGTGGACGGGGTGTATTGAGTGAGAGGTGCAGCAGGAGCAGCACAGCCTGCTCAGCGATGCCCAGCGTGAGCGCTCCTGGGGCGCAGGTGCCACCTCGTGCTGTAGGTGAGAGGAAAGGCAGGCAAAACAAGCAGAGCAGCCTTTGGCTGCACAGAGCTGCAGATCAGGTCCCCAGTGCCCTGCTCCCTGCTGATGGACAGCAGCGTGTTGTGGAGGCAGTGTAGCATAGCTTGTTTAATGCTGCATTATGGTAATGAATACTGGGGAGCCATTAACACGGGAATCTCGGATTTCAAATATAACGAACCACACACTTCAATGTTTTCTAGCAGGGTCTTCTTTGGAGCCGTAAGCACATTATTTTTTTAAATCAACTTTCATCCCAAAGCAAATTTTCCCAGCTAAGTACCTCTTTAATCAATCCATTCACAAATATATATATATATTTATTTTTAATAACATTTTTTAATATTTGCCAAAAACATAATGACAGTTATTTTTACCCATGGTATGTTCTTACCTATTTAATGTTATACAACCTTGCTAAAACCAAATTAAGCAAAAACATTAGCATCAATCCATTGAATTCAGATGCTATTAAAATAAAGTAGATGTTTTCAAACACTAGAATGAATGGAAAAACATTTCCTTGACTGTCAGATTGCATTTGTTTCCTGTTGAAGCTAAGTGGGTTAAATTAAGTGACTAATTAGCTATGCATCTGCACAATTCAGTGGGCATTTTTATTTTGTTTAACTTATATATTTATTTCCAACTTGTGAAAAAAGGACTGTAACAAGACAGAGGGAAAGCATTCCCCAGAGCACTACTGTAGTGTGGTTTTTACTACAGTTTCCATTGAAGTGCTGTTAATTACTTGGGTTTACAACTCAGGCATAAAAATTTGCACAATGGTGAAATTTCTCTAAGAAGAATTTGCTCAGTTTTGTTAACTGTTGTTTTTAGATTAGAAAAGCTGAAACAGCATCCAACAACAATAACCACCTTTGTTGCAGGTGTTCGGAGTCTCTCCTTGTCGTGAACTGATTTGTTCCAGTCTGGCACTGGGATACCATTTCCAAATCCATCTCTGGAGCCGCTGACTGGACCTTTGCCTGTGGTTTGCATGAGGGCAAGGCAGGTGCTACTTGGCAGATGCTGCTTTGCAGCTGAGGAACTACCCAGATGCTCAAGCCAGTCTGGAGCAAAAGCAGCAATCACAGTTTCAGTTTCTTCACTTCCCCTTCCGAAGTGCATGTGGAGGTTCATAAACCTCCAGCAAATATTCAGTGGAAGAAGGGCACCCAAGGCTTCTCCACTTGGAAGGAAGCTCTTCCTTCCCATCCTTTACACTACTCCCCCAAAACTACATCTGGCTGCAGAATTGTGCTGGATTTCTCACTGAATTTCCTCTTGCACAGAAAAACTAGAAGTGCTCTTTAGGGCTGCCATTCACCAAACCTCCTTTCCAAGATGGTTTTTATCTCAGTTCTTGCCAGAATCCCTGTCACTGGATGGTACAAATGCTGTAAATGGACTAATGTGGGCCCAGCAAGCACTGGGGCTGCTGCTTTGAGCTGAGCTTTTGAAAATAATGAGATGGATTGTCAGAGTCCTTGGTCAGCAAGGCGAGAGAATAAGAACCCTGCTGCTCCCCTGCTCAGTTTGCAACTCCAGCTGCTGGCAGTGGCAGCAATTCAACTGAAATTCCCTTCAGTGAGAAAGGTCTTTGGCAAGATGGAACTGTTGAGATTTTTTTTCTCCTCCCCTGTAATTTCTGTGGGGTTTTTGGCATCAGATGCCTTGTGTCTTCATACAAAAGTTCTTTTCTTTTTCTTTTTTCCTTTATTTTAAGCTGACATTTTGATTCTGCCTTAATTAAACCACTTTGGAAGCAGCATGACTCTGTTTCAGAATGAGTTGCACTGGTACAAGTTTTGTGCAGAGGCATCTTTGTTTCAGAGTGACTGCATCCCTTATGACAGTCCTCCCACAGCTAGCCCACCTTGCCTTGCTTCAGGCCTGCATCAGGATAGGTTTTTTTACCTGTATGAATCCTACTGCTCCACAAGCATCCTGACCAGATGTCACAGGGCACTTTTCATGCCAAGAGAGAACCATTTTTGCTTTTGCTCCTTTGCTTTTCTGCTTGCCTGACAACCCTCTTGCTCCTTTTCCCCATCCTCCCCTCTTCCATTCAATTACTGACCCAATGTGGATGTCATGCTTCAGGGTTTCTCAGGGCTTTTTTCTCTCCCAGAAAAAGAGCATGTCCAGTCCTTACTGGTTCTGTTCTTTGCTGTGACCTCCCAGTGTCTGGGGCAGAGCATGCAGGAGGAAAGCACTTGTGGGGACAAGGGCCAGCACCCTACTGCATCCAAGGAACTCGTGTGGCTTTACTGTGATACAAGATGCTCTCTTGCTGCTGCCTCCATCTAAAGTTGTGCACATGATTTTTCCAAGTTTTAAATAGTTATAAGTAGTGGTTATTAAAAGATAAGTGATTATTTTTCTTTGCTGTTGCCCTTCAAACCCACCCTCCTCCTGCCCTGCTCATATGGTGCTCCTACAGCTTTATACTTTAAACGGCTTTGTTTTGTTCAAAGTGTTTAATTTTGCAGCAATTGGCCAAATATCCCACTTCTCCCTCATGCCCATGTGCTTTATCTTTCTCTGTCTTGCCTCTTCAGAAAGTATTGTAGACATGCAAGTATTTTTGCTTACCAGATTAAAAAAACAAACAAACAAACAAACAAAACTGGTTCAGAAAAGCCATGGTTCAGAACTGCCTCTTAGGTTTTTAAACTGTATTTATAGTAGAGGATGTAAATTGCCAAAATTAAACCATGACAACATGACAAAAACTCATGGAGATGATAAGGCAGAAATTCCTAGACATCCTCTCTTGCACCTTCACTTCCAAGCCCATGAACTCATTCCCACCAGCTTGGGATGTATTTCTGAGACTGGAAAGCACCTTCATGAGGAATTATTGGTTATTTTTAGTAAAATCCTTGGAAATTTTAACAATTGAGATTCAAATGTTATTAAGTCTAGTTATTTTAAGGTGCATTTTTATGATCAAAAACCATATGGGAGAGCATTTAAAGAAAGAAAATTAGTGCTCAGTTTCTGGGCTGGTCTCTGGAATAGTGGGCAGCCTCTTCATGGGGCTGAACATTGTTGATTCAGTGTTTCCTTCATACCCCATCCAGGCCTTTCTGACCACCGATCTGGTGTGTGAACATTGCTCCATTTTCCAGGCTTATAGAACCTTTTAAAGCAATATCCATTTCTGTTCTGCAGCCCAACATTTCAAGAAGTGAAAAGAAATCCATGAAGGTTAAGAAATAATTACAAATCATCTATTAGAATTACAAATATTTTTACCCTGTGCTGTTGCTTAGTGGATTGAAAATTGAGCCCACTTGGACAAATTAAATGAAATGTGGGAAGAAGACTGTTGGGAAGTGATCACCTGGTCCCTGTGTCCTGGAATTCTGGTAAGTGACTGCTGGGAAATTCACAGCACTGCTATAGCCAAATCAGATACTGGATTCAAAGGATGTGTTCCTAGAGCCTGCAAAGCTACTTTGAAAAAATCCCGCTGTACAGTAAGCATGAAAATGCTCTTAAACTGGCATTGAAAATATCCCTGAATGTGTTAAATAAAAATCTTCTATCAAATGCATTCTTTTAGGAGTGGAACAGAACTGAGTAAGGACATGTCAGGCAGAACTAGGTAATTTCTGGAATTTTGGCTCTGTGATCCCTCTCTTGAAAGAGAGACAACAGAAGCAGTTTATATCCAGGAAAAGAAACAGAGCAAATGTTTCTCCTTTGAGCAAGCAAAGAGAAGAGGGAAACTGTGACCATTGCCTGCTCTGCCTGGGCTGCAGGGCAGCTCCAAGCTGTGTCCTGTGCAGGGCAGACAGTGGAATTACAGCCAGCATAGTCCAGTGGGCTGCTCACTGCCCTACCAGCTATGTTTAGTGGTGGGTATTTTCAGCAGCAGGATTTTGTCTTGTAATCCACGTCACACAGCACCTGACTGGCAGATGTCTGGTACACAGGGAGGCTGGGAGGAATCAGTAGTTTGGGAGTGCTGGAGTTTTTTTGGATGTGATTATTTTGATCATATTGTCTTTATTCCAAAAGTGAATTTCTAGCTACACCCACAGTTCCGGGTGAATAAAAAGCCAGACCTTGCATAAAAACAGTCAATGTTCTAAAGTTGTTGAAATGGCAAGATCTTTAAAAATCTGTCAGTTCATTAATATATAATAAACCTACACCAGCTTGCCCTGAAATAATTTAGTAGGTAAGATCTCATTTTGCTGATAACGAAATGAGTTTTAGAACATTCAGGGTATTTTTTTAAAAAAATCTTGTTTATATTTACAATTCCTCGTAACTGTTTATATCCATTTAATGACTAAAAAAGCATGTCCACAACCTGTCCCTGGCTGAATTCCTCTGAACAGTTCACTCCCTCAGAGCACCATTGGCTTCCTGCGTTGGTTCAGTGACCAGCGTGATTTTTGAATCAATGTAACACAGGAGAGGGTTTACATTAAGCTGCCACAAAATGTAATCAACTGCCTAGCATACTTGTCTGAAGAATTATTAAAGCATAGAATGCAAAGTGGCAGAAATAGAAGTATAATTCTAGTAAAATCATCAAAGGATGCAATAACCGAGTTAGAAAATGCAGTGACAGATCTAATTAACGAACTAAATTACAATTCAGTCCAAAAATAATTGTCATTAGAAGTAAAATCACATTTCTGTCTGAAGCGTCTCAGCATGTTTGCCATAGTGATTGCTAAAACTAGAAAGAAACCTACTCTCATTATTTTTTTAATGCAATTATTACACACAAAAATCAGTCATGAAATCGAATATGCCAGTTTAGCAAACGATTCTCAGCTAAGAGCTTCCCCTCTCACACCACAAGGTACAGATTTAGGCTGGCTTACAGTACTTTGTTTTTGTGCTCATGTTGGAGTCAACATTATTTTTGGACTGGCTCCTTCCTCCCAGAGACCTCTTTGTATTCTGACTTAAAACAACAGACCATTTAATTTTAATATTGACCTAATTGCACATCTGAATCTATTGGAAGCTGTCTAACAAAACAAAAATACTAATAGGACATGTGCCAACTGCAGTTTAAGTTGGGCTGCTTTTAATATAAGCTGAAGAGCTTTTGTATTAAGCTCTAACAATGGCTAATACAGCTGCTGAGCTGATTACTTAAGCAACTTCTGGATATATTCACACATCAGATTTGAATTCCAAGTATTTTGCATACTGTTTCCACCTATATAATTGTCCACTGGCCCTTATCATTATTTATTATGCAAAACTGATTTTTTTTTTTTTGAAGCGTGAAGAATGAAGTAATTTAGTATGCAAACAGTTAAAACTCTCATGTGGATTCCGATTTTGTATGTGTTGATAAATTCACTTACGATGACTGACAGTGTGAGATTTTTTGGGGTCATATCGGTCACTCTTTCCATGACACTGATGAAAATGATAAACTAAATGCCAGAAGTGTCCCTGGCGCATCGTGGGATGAAATGTATAAAATGTCAGTGTCTAGCCTGTGTCTATTAATAACTAAATATGATTGTGTGTAATGAGCAGAGATTTTCATGTTGATTGAAGTATGATTTCTTTTGATCTTCCAGATGTTGCTGCTTAGAAATTCATATTGCTCTTTTGCTGCTAAATGCATAATGACCTTTTAAAACCTTTTAACTGTTAAAACCCCTATTATTTTCAACAACATAGTCAAGTTTCCATTTTTTTTTTTTTTTTAATGTTGATTGGAAGTTTCTTTCTCTTCCCATCCTCACCTTCCACTTTGCTTTCTCTGGTCTCCTCTTCCTCTCTCCTTTTTAAACCCTTCTTTTCCTCTAATACATTTCTTTAGCAAAGTTCCTGACATCACACAGATTCCTGTGTTCAGAGGAGCAGACAGCATAAGAGGGCAGGACCCTGTCATCACTTTCGTTGCTTCTACCCCCTAAATGTCCCCAGCTGTTTCCCAGCATTGCTGGAAAATTTGTCCTGAGCAACCATTTCAGGCAAACACCCAGCTCACCTCGCTTCTGAGGTAGAAAAGGAACAAAGACAGGTGTCAGAAATGAAGAATCGTGTAGTTGACGTTGATAGTGGAGTGATCTGCTCTGAAGAAAGGAATTGTGGAGCATTGTAAGCTTCCTGCATGAATAATGCATTTGTGTCGCTCATTTTTGGGCTTAGTCACACCCTGCCTTCCACATTTGGCCCCTTTATGGTTGCACCTGTGCATGAATGGTGACTGCCTGAGAGCCTGCAAGAATAAAACCAGTCCCTGAGTAAAGGCAGCAGCAGCAGCAGCAGCAGTAGCGTAAACATCTCTTCATTATTTAGCTTTTGTGCCAATCCCACGTTGGCACAAGGCTGTCTCTGGCCTGTGTGACTCAGCCATGTGAATGCAGGAGCTGCTTCTGCACCCTGAAGGTGTTTCAAGTGCTTGACTGGTTCGGTCAGCAAAGAAAGGAATCTCTACTCCTTGCACTTCTGCCAATATGAATTTAGGATGCTTCAAGGGCTCTGGAGAGGCTTCCCAGTGCCCAGGTTTCCTCCTCATCACTGCACCACTCCAGCACTGTTCACACCAGAAGGGCCTTGGGACACTACCCAGCCCAAACTCCCATTTCAAGCAGGGCCAGCACTGGCTTGAGACCTATTTCACCCAACCCATTTCAAGTATTTAGGAGGGGTCTGGAAGGAGAGCTGCACCTGGCTTGTTGTGTTTGGAACGGTGTATACTTATGAAGGGCCAGATCCTCTTTTTAGCCTCATTCTGGGCAAATGCAGTGTCTTCAAGCAGGACTCCTGTAAATTAGCATGAGGATAAATCTACTTGAAACAGTTTGACCAATTCACTGGAAAAGGACTGTTCTATATAAATACTTCCAAACCCTCCTTTGGGCCCACTAGGAGTTGGTTCAGCTCTTCTCATTACCTGGATGCTGGCACAGGGCCATGGCTCAGGTGTTTTGTGTCCTCTGAAATGGGGAGGTGGCTTATGGATCTATTTAAGCTGTTGTGTAACAGCAGGAAAATGTACCACTTCTGCTTGGGCAGTACATAAGTGGAAGAGACAAGAAAGCAAAGTAAAGCATCTAACAAAAGAAATCCCAGTTTGCCAAGTTTTTTACACCTTGTTCCTGGAAATATTCAACACAGAAAACAAATTATTGTGGTTTGAATTACAGATTCTGTGGCAAATATGACAGACAGAGCCAAACCCAGGAAGATCCTAGACCCTTGGAGGCCCAGACCAAGTCTACCATGACAGGTAAAGAGTGTCTGTACCAGATGATTATTTAGTGATTAAAAATTCTGTCTGTCATATGGCATCTTTGCGATGTCATTGTGAAAATAGATGCATCTTTTACTGGTGTCCCTGTGGTTTTGTTTGTCCCTAATGCAATAGTGACAGTCCTGGGGCCCTATTGCTCTCAGCTACCTCTGGTTCCTGTGCAGTGTACTGTGTCCTTCATTATATATTCTGGTCCCATCTGGTCTGACAAGCCTTCTCCATCCTCAGAAGCGATTACAAATAATAATGATGACAAAACCCAGAGAATTTTTGCTTTATTTTGAAAATGATTGTTTTGTGTTGCATGGTGGTGCTTCCTGCCTCTCTCTGGGGTCGCCTGGCAACCATTTGCTAGCCTCCTGCCATCAGATCCATATCGAGCAAGGGCATCTGGAAGCTGGTTTGGGATGGAAACTGCTCCCTTTCACCATCCCTGCTGCTCTTCTGTGGGCAGAGGTGAGGTTACTGTGCATGCAGTGGATTCATGACCATCTCTCTGACAGAGGCTATTTAAGCATATTGTAGCAGTTTCATTTGAGTGTTGCCAAAATATTAAAAGAAAAGCTGGTGATAATACAGTATCAACCACCAACACTGCATAATTAAGCATGCATTATTTGCAGTTGATGTTTGTCTGTTTAATAGAATTAAGGATAATTAAAGGGAAACAGTGAGGAGATATCTCTGCACAATATAGCAATCTACCAAAGCAAGTGAAACAGGGAAAGCAATGTCTCTGAGTAGGAGTGCTTATCCTGTGTGGTGTTTGCTCCTTTGTTTCTTCAATGGGTCACTTATTATATATTAAAATTATATATTTGTATGTGTACATGCATACATACATGGGTTAAGTGAAAAAGGGACAGATCGTGGCTAGGGCACATTAAGATTTTATAAGGGCATGCTCAAATTTTGAGAGTAGAGGCAATTGCTACATAGGGCTAAGATGGACAAATCCCAACTCTCTCTCATCCAGCATCTTTCCTTTGTTTTCACTGAATGCCCTGTGACTGTTCCTGTCTGATCACATCCCCCACTCTCCTCACCCTGAAGCCAACATCTCTGCACTGGCTGGAGTAAGTCCAAAGGTTGTTAAACACTGGTTTGGCCACTGGGTTTAGCTACAGGAGTGAAAGTGGATGAATGCCTTATGCCCATCTATACTTCAGTAAGATCTCCTTCTTCTGACATCCCACCTTGGGGCTAAGCTTCCTCCCCTGTGGTGCTGCAGATATAAATCACCTTTTGTAGCTGAGTAACCCTTTGCTTTAAGGGTCTGTTCCTTTAAGCAAAAGCAGTAGAAACTGTAGAGGGAGTGTGGCTAAAGATGTATGTACCTGAAACATCCAGAGCTCTGAATATATCACTAGCAGGGCCAGAATGGCCTGGGGAACATCTGTGCTTCAGCTTTGCTCAACAAAGACAAATACGTCTCACTCAGTGCTTTGTTCTTATATAAGTTTCCATATTGGTGGAAATAATTCAATGTATCTTGGTAATTCTGTTAAGGCAGGCTCACCAGTTTCCCCACTTCAGATTCAATAGTAATTGTGTTGATATTACCTGCAGGTATCTTTGTAAGATAATGCTATTAATGTCACTACTCCAGAAGCTTTATCAATACATTAATTGGTGCAGGAACGTTGACAGCCTGCCCTTACAAGTGCCTGGCTTTGAGCAACCTGAAACTGAAATGATTATTTGAAATTATGTTCATTTTTGAGGACAGTGCTCTGCAGAGGGACACCAAGAAGCAGCATCCTTAAATGGCAGCCAGGTTTGCTGAGTGGGTAACTAATGCAATCACTATTTTTGTTTGCTCCTGTGGTGAACACATACCTAAGGGCTTTGGTGAGGATTAGGGTCTCTGTGCTCAGTACCATGTTACAAACAGATTGCAATCAAATGTGGATTCATATATAAGAAAATGAAACTACTCCCTTTCAGAAAAATTGAATTCCTTTCCCACCAGGTCGATAAGTGACCTCAGACAGAGGTGGTTGAAAAGAAGAGACAGCTGCCATGGTGTGCAGCAGAGCTTCCTGACGAGGATCCTCTGTCTCTAAAAGACTCCAGCTGAGTTCCTGCAGTAACACAGAGCTTTGAGGGAAAAATATGCTCCAAGAGAAAAACTTACTGCTCTGTCTTCATTCCTCCAGCACTGGCTTTGTAGACAGGCAGAGTTGGTGGTTCCCTGAGGTAGCAGTGGCTGGCAGACTGCCTTGCTTGGACAAGGCACATGGCAAGCCCTTCCAGTCCCTGGTCCCCAGTCCCTGCCTGGCCAGTCTCTATTGCACAGATGATGGCAGATACTGTCACAGACAATGACTACTAATCCAACTAAAGAAGCAAGTCTGGTCCTCCTTCCCAGGCTTGTGCCTTCCCCTTCTCACCTGATCTCCTGTTCCCACTCACAAAGTTTTCAGGCAGATAGCTCAGAGACAACTTAGAAATGCAATCTTCCCCCAAACTGGTGTCTCCCAGCTTTTTCCACAGTCTTCCTCTAAATATTTTTTTTGGTTTTGCAGAATTGAATTTTACCTGTAGTAAGGATTGACTTGAGCTGACTTTGCACTCTTAAGCTCTGCTGAGAGCTGATCCTGAATTGCAGATTTTGCCTGGATTTTGCAGAGCTCTCTGAGGTCTAGACCTCCTGACACTGCACAAAAAGCCCTGAAGAGGTACCACAAAGGGGTAACGAGCTGCCTGGAAAGGTGGTAGAGGCCCCATCCCTGGAAATAGGAATGCTGACAGGGCTCTGAGCAACCTGATTTAGGGGAAGATATCCTTTCTAATTCCATGGGGGTTGGATTAGATGAACTTTAAAGGTCCCTTCTAATCCACACTATTCTGTGATTTTATGAATCTATGAAAGAGGCCTGAATCCAGCTGGTCTAGCTTGCATGTATGGTTGAAATTTTAGAGGCCTGGGCAGAAGGAAAAAGAGATGGATGCAGCTACCTACATCATTTTAGATTTTTTTTTTTTTTTTTTTTTTTTAGATAGCAGTCAATGCAAAGGTATAAGCAACCATAAAACTTCCAGAGGTTGCTCCTGTGTCCTATATTTGTGATGTGTGAGGAAAGAAGAGGGGACTCACTGCAAATGTTAGTTGTCTTCATGCCTTTGAAATCTGCTCCATCACCCCTTTCTATAAAGGTAGGATTCTAGTACTGGATGGTGCCATTTGTTATGTTATGAACTGTGTGGCAGCAGTTAGAGCACTGATTTAAGATGAGAATTGTCTAGCTCTCAGCTTTCCCCTGATGCAGGAAGAAATGTTCTCCCATTTTCCAGATCTCCAGCCCCGATTTACTGTATTCTGGATCAGAGCAATCACCAGCTCTTCTTTCCAAGCCACACCAGGGTACAGCCAAGCTGTCAGGAGTCACATGCAAGAGACAGCAAGCAGGGGGGACCCATGCAGGGTCAGTCCTCAGGCATGCACAAGTTTTGCCATGGCTTTCTCCTAGTTTTATCCAGTCACTCTGAACTCCACCAGCAGATCTGCCCCAGCAAGGTGCAGCCACAACAGCAGTGGGGGGATGGCTGCACCACCCTGGTGGTGTGAGAAGTCCTGGCTCATATGGAAGCTGAGAGAGGATGCAGGTGCCTGTTGGTCTGTGCTTGGGTTGCTTTAGGATCAGTAGCCTCAACCATGCTGCCTGCAGCAGCCACTGCAGCAAAGAGTGTGGGCAAAGCTGAGGCTAAACCTGTGTGGATTTGGCTGTCATCATCCAAATATGAAACTGTTGAAAAGGAGCAGTTTTGACAAACTGGACCAGTGTCTGATATTTGTAAACCAGCATGTGTCTGTGTTCATATTTATTCACACCATTCTTCAATGCTCCAGTTCCTAGATTGGTGTGAGGATAGTTCCTCAGAAATTAATAACTGTTAGAGCTTTGTGGCTCAGTGAGTTGTTTACTTCCTTACATCATTAATACTATCCTTGTAGGGAGGAGGAGTGTTGAAAATAATAAACACTCTTTCCTTCATTAACATGCTGAAGGCTGTGGAAGCAAAGGCAAGACATGACTGCTAGTTACTGTGGGGCCTCAAAGTACACAGCTCCCAGCTGGTGCTTCAGCCCATGCTCAGGTCTTTTCTCCTTGCTGTCATAAAAAAGTGATATAATCACACAAGCCCAAGTTTGCATATTTTCTGGCATATTGACTGTGCTGCTGTCTGCCTGTCTATCTATATGTATTGTGTATACGTCACTTAGAAAATATGCTGGATTTTACATATTGGGTGTGGGTATCACTTATTACAGGAATTCACCCTCAGCACTGGTCCTTGGTGGGGTGCTGGCTCAGTAGGTGGCACTATTTCCTCTGGATTTATGATCAAATCTGAGTCCCAGCACTATGTGTGGGAGCCTTAAGGCCCAGTTTGAGTCAGTTATCAGGGCTGGCTGGTTCTGTGCAGGACATGAAGCAGCACTTCTGGCCATGGGTGAGAGGGGTCTTGATTTTGACATTGTAGTCAAAATTAACTTCTGTAGTTTCATTCTGATTCTATAAATCTCTTTTGCAAATTCAGTTGGGTATTGCATTGGTTTTTTACTTTACAGTCTAAAAACTGCTGTCTGGTATTGAATATGTTGTAGTAACTCTCTTAAACTAGTTATTACTAGCTACCCCAGAAACGGCTGCATTCCTACAGCAGAAATGTGTTCCTATACATTCCTCCCCTCATAATGCTGAATCTTAATTAATTGCTGATTATAAAGTGCTTTCAGATCCCCAGAGGAAAAAAAAATGTATGGAAGTGCAAAGTATTGTTAATTATTATTTCAGCACTTTAAAAGCATGAACCTGGCTCTGAAAACTAGCCACAAAATAATGCACTAATTCCAAATTCTGCATGAGAAAACTCGAGGCCACAAGGGAATCTGAAAGGTTCCTAATTAGGCAAAACTCACAAGGCAGACAAAAACTGGAAGACAAAGGTTAAACAAAAGAGGCAAGAATATATTTCACAGGAATCCAAAACAGAAGTAGAGAAATGCAGTGAGGGACAGATACTTGGTGTGGACCCGAGGCCAGGTGCAGATGCACAGGGGAGATGCCTGCACATTAGCATACATCACTCTGCTAAACCCAGGCCTGAGGTAGCTCGAGCTTCCTTGGAGTGACACCAGGGATTTGCTTGGCCCCTTTTGTTTTGCTGATATCACAAGAGTGGAGACAGGGAATTAGGCTGGCACTGATAACTGCCTGCCATGCACTCAGGGGAGAGGTGATCATTTGTGTGCTCTTGGCTCTGCCCCTTAGGGTCTTTGGATTTTGTGGTTTTTCCACCCATCTTATTATCCTTGCTATTTTTAGAAAATTCTGTAGAGAAGGAACAAGTTGTTAAAAATACTAACTTAAAATAGAAAAAGTGAGTAAAAGCTTTGGGGCTGGATTTACGAGGACAGATCAGGATACTAAGAGGCTTTTTATGCTCTAAGTTTAAATGTAAATTTTTAAACTCTCTTCTCATCCCTTTAATTAAATTTATTTAAGCAGGAAATGTTTAATTCCCTAAATACAAAAGTTTCCACTGGTCAATTTTTCCAGGTGCTATGGCACTGTGCTTGCACAGATAGACCTTCACCTGCATGATGACTCTGAGGTGCTTGACATCTGTTTCACTGACAAACTTTCTCTCTTTCCCAACCACATCCTGAAGCCATCCTTTTCCTCCATATCCCTGCATCTTCTCACAAAACACAGCCAAACACTCCTCTCTCTACACATGCAAACCTCAGCTTTAGAGTATCCCTGAGACAAAATCCCTGCTTTGTGTGTTTTGGGACAGAAACTCAGCCACATCTCCCCTCTTTATGGAAACTTTCTGCCAGTGGGGCACTGACTGAGATAGGATGTGGCTGTCTCAGTCAATCCCATAAATTATTCTCAATGTAATAGAAGCCCTTTCCCTTGCATTTGCAACTCAGTATGTACAGACTGGGGCAGCCAGCCCTGCCTCTCCTCCAGTGCAGGTAAGGATCCAACCCTCAAGGCTGCAGAATCAACTCTTTGCAGCTTCTTGCTCCCTGTGCCTTAATGAATATGTATGTTTTTATTGCAGTATGGAATAGCTCAGATCCCATGAGCACAGCAAGCAGGGAAATGTTTGATTTGTGAGTCTGAGATAGGGAGCAGCAGTAGTTGAAATTCAGGTGCCACAGGGATTTCTGTACAGGAGGAGAGCCACGGTGTCTATATAATTTAGGTACCAAGGAGGTCTGGAAGATGGCTGGTTTGGAAGTTAGCACATAGACCAGCAGTTAGTCACCTCCAGCACCCCAGTGAATCAAACCCCAGAGGCTTCAGCATAGTATGCAATCCATATTCATATATTTTCATTATTCAAAAAGGTTTTTACCTTGCCTGGAAATTAAGCACAAAGGGCATAATTCTGGATGTTGCATGAATATAACCCTTGGCAACTATGACTGAAGTTGGTCAGTAAAACAGTGTTTCACTTTTGCCTCTTTGAGAATGGGATTTGTTCCATTCCTAACCAGATAGTTGTCATCAGACTGATCCATACACCTGCATAAGAAAGTGTATCTTGTTTTATCATTGCCGCACCATTTCCTCTTTAGGCATTCACTGCATATCTGAAGGCTCCACAGTTTACACAAGAAATAAAGAGCTACTCTTTCCTTGCTAGTCTTTTCCTGATGTTACCTGTGCTCAGGATGCAAAAGTCAGTGCTCATTTCCCATCCCTGGAAGTGTTTCAGGCCATGTTGGATGAAGCTCTGGGCAACCAGGTCTAGTGAGAGGTGTCCCAGCCTAGAGCAGGGATTTGCAACTAGATGGTCTTTAAGGTCCTTCCCAACCCAGACTATCCTGTGATTCTGTGATGAGTCTACGATTTTCTTGACATAAGATCTGGCATATAAGTGTAGCACCCTTAAGACAATGCCACAAGTACTTTATGGAGAGGTACAGCATCTCTCTCGGGCTGATCTTTGCTTAGTACATGCATGTTCTTGAGGCTAAATATTCCCAAGAAAAGGTTAAGACCAGAGTCAGTTTTTGTTTGTTTTCCCCCAATCAGTCACAGCCCAGGTACTTAGAATAAGGCTTTGTGAGGCATCCTGTGGTCTAACTGCTTCCTTTGCATTTACTCTGATCTTTGGAACTTGTAGCAACCAGTCTGTATCACTGCAGAGAAGAAAACATTAACATACAGGAAGAAAAGCAGCAATGGATGTTTAGTGTGCTAGCTGAGCCTGTGTGAGGGACACGGTGGGCCAGCTCTGCCAGCAGCAGGGGGATGTGCAGGGGCTGTACTCCAAAGAAGTGAGCTGTGAGCTTGCCTTCCCTGCCTGTGAAACTTCCCCATTAGAGGTAAACAAGTGTCATTCCTCTGTAAGATCCACCTCACAAGCCTTCCAGCACAGCTCCCTATCTAGCATGCATTAATTAGAGCATGCTACCATTACACACACCACACAGCAATCTGGGAGGGGAGTGGGAGAGAGGACCTAAGACGTGATGCTAGCTGTGACAGGAGAAAATGGATTGCTTTTCTTCTGTGTTTCAGCCTAATTATTGTACTGAGTATCTGGCTTCTCTGGTGTCTTAGAGCTTCAGGGCTCAGTGCTGAAAGCAGGATAAGTGCCAGTAGCCAGGGAATGGGGTACTCGGTATAAAACAACAAAAACATCTTCATGAAGGCAGGGACCTGCAGGACTCTAATTAGCTCTGGTAGCAGCAGGGCCCAGCTGTGATGCTGAGCCCAGATCTGAAGCTTGAAGGGACTGGCCAGCCACAAGCAGGCTCCATAGCTGTGCCAAAAAAGAAGGGAACAGAGGAAAATTCTGCCACAGTGACATGAAAGAATGCTCAGAAGGTGTCTCGGGCTCCTGTGCCAGCTGGCTGAGTGGCTGCAGAGCCTGCATATAAAGACCACTTTCTGGGAAATGGAAAGACATCTATGTTTAATATTAGAGCTTGTGACTCATTTTCTCTATTTGCTACCCCAACTGCCTAACCAAACAGAGTCTCCAATCTTCCTTCCTATGACCTTCAATCATCTGTTGGAAAGACACGTCACTCGGATGAAATGGAGGGAATTTATTCAGAAATTTCACTAACCGAGATGAAGCAACCTCTGTGCTGCATTTGTCCATCTCTCCTTGAAGACCAAAGATGAGGTGGGTCACAGAAAAGGCAGATTTTTCCATCAGTCTGACCTCACAGTACAGTCTCCATATTTTGTTGAATGCAGGAAGCTGATAACCTTATCCTTGTCATGTTTTCACAGATCTGTGCCTCTTTTCATCGTATTCCTCCAGGCAATTCCATGTCTATTTTGTACTTAACCTCATAGTTTTGATTTGCATAGCAGGTTGCCTATTCCTTTGCTTTTGCACATTTCTTTTGTTTAAGAAAGAATCCCATCCTAATCCCTTGAATTTGCCCACGATTCTGCCATTAATCCCACAAAGAAAAAAAAAGGTGCAAAATATACAAAATCTCTCAGAACCCAGAGAAAAGAGTATCCCAAAGAACATTGGTGTTAAATACTTTTGTTTACCCATGCTCTCCAAATGCATTAGTAGGTTAGAAAATGGAGATGAGTCTAGGTTAAACAGACAACTTTGTCACTTTGCAGATGACAGGCCTTTAGACTTACAAGATAAATAAGACAATTCGAGCATGCCTTTACCACTAAACATACTCCTCTTTATGTTCTTACGAAAGCTTATGCAATTGTGTACTGATGTAAAAGGCACTTTCCTGCCTGTGATTATTTATGCAATCAGTAAGAAAAAATTCGTGATGAACTAGACTTTGTGGGTCAGCCTCTGATCATTCTAATTTGAATGTTGGATGAAGAAAAAACGTCACAGGCAGCCAGAATGCTGGAAAAGAGAAGATCTGTAGGGTCACTGACAGCAGACTGGCAGTGGGTTGTCACAGTAGACTTTGCTGGTTATTTTCTGTCTTTCTGTGAATCGTCTGGTCTTTTGCTCCTTGATCACAGGCTTAGGCTCCCCTGCATGCAAGGCAGATGCCTCATTTGTGGGTACCAACAGGAGTCATGTCTAAGATGAATGTTGAACTGCTCAGATCTGTTAAAACTGAGAAACTTCTGGGCACAGCTGAAAATACAACATGAATTGCCTCAGGAGCACTGGTGCTTGAGGCTGTGATGCCAGCAGATTTTTAGGTGCCCCTTGATTTCATGAAGAGATGGGGAGAAGTCAGTGGTTTAATGTCTGGCTGATAGCTGGCAGTGAACAGAGCGCTGGGCTCTCATGAAATCCCAGCTAGGATTTTGTGTCTGGTTTGGGCTCCAGCTGAAGAAGGATAGGAAGAAACTGCAGCAGGTGTAGTGGGGGACTACCAAAATGGCACAAGGTTGAGAGCTCATGGCTCACAAGAAGAGGCCAAGAGAGTTGAGTCTGTCCTGCCTTTGTGGAGACAAGGCTGAGGGACATGCTTGTAATTAAAAGGACTTGATGGGCAGCTGCAAAGACAGAAGACTCAAACCCTTCTTAGTAGTTCCAGGCACTATAAGAATGCACAAAATGAGATTTGGGGTTTCAGTCTGAACATTAAGAAAAGATTTCAGCAGGATCCACAGCAGAGGAAAAGCTCACCAGAAATGTTGTTCAACCTCCATATTTTGAAGTTTGCATATCTCACCTACAAAAAGCCACAGGCTGGTCCCTTGCGGGTGATGAGCAGAATGATGGAGACTAGAGATCTCCAGATGTCCATTGCAACCAGCATTTCTGTGATTCTGTGATCTAGAAGATTTTTAGTACATTTTGTAGCTGAAATGCAGTTCCAGACTTCTCAAGTGAGACTAAGGCAGAGCAGGAGACTAGAACACAAAGAAAGGAGAGCAAAAGTTTTGCTCTGAAAACCAGTGCACCAGAAAATTGAAGGAATTGTATCCATATGCTATAGCAATCTGAGAAGATGTGCCATTACATTGAATGGGCTGACTGTGAGTTTCTTATCATGATGTGAAGAGTTAGGTATAACTTCAGAAGGAGCCTGCTGGAAGGAAATTGCTTGCTGGAGTGGTGAAAAGCTGCCTCAGCTGACAGCAGAACAAAGTCTTTCCATGCTCTAAAATGATTCTCACAGAGACCAAGGAGCGAGAGTGTGTGTGTGGGGCCCCTTCTATCTCTTGACAGTGGTTGTACTCTGGAATAAAATGTTGGGGAGAAAGAAGGAAATACCTTGAGGAGAGAAGTCAGCATTAATTTTACTGTTATTGTGTTTCGGAGTGAGCAATACTGAAGTCTTAGGCTTGCAGATGTGGTGATAGCCCCCAGTTTAGTCTGCAACAAAGAAGTCTGCTGTCCACACACACACACACACACACACACATCTACATCTTTCAAATACTCTTTAGCACCACTCACCACATACTTCCTATGGGATGAACATATTCCTGTAGAGTGGGCAAAAGCAGCATTTCCATTTTTTGCTGTACTCCAAGTCTTTGACCGTCTGGGCTGGCAGCTGCATGGGGAGAACAGAGTGCACTCCATGTCACCTAATCCCACGTGTAAAACTGAAGAAGGAAATTGCAACTATAGCAGGCACACAGCAGTGTGCATGAGTACGAAACCTAAAAAAGAAATAAACTTGTAGATCTCCATGGGTCTGTTTAAATACAATATTTTATTCCATTCTGTGTAGCTTTTTATACAGTTCTCATCACCATAGCAACAGAGGTCCAGCTCTTCAAATGAAATTTAGGTATCCTACAGCACCCAAATCTGTCAGCTGGGTGCTATTGCAGTCACAAAAAGATTATTAAGCTTCCACACACTCCTGTGTTTATTCAAAGTTCCTGGATACAGGTGCTGCCCATAGCTGAGAATATGCTAAATGTTCCAGCTCAAGCTGAAACAACACTTAAAGATCCCCAAATGCAGAATTTCCTCACTTCACTATCCAGTACCGTTGAAACCCTGGGAAGATGATTAAATGAGCTGTGGTTCACCTGGTGGACAGCCTAGGGACAAATATGGCCCTATATTCATTTTTACCTCTGCCAGTCTTGCGACCCTGGCAGGCCCCTCCAGCTTGCTGGTTAAAGAACTGATGTGTGACAGGCAGGTTCAAATTTTGCTCTGAATCATTTGATGCAGAGAAATATGACTCCTCTCCCACATCCTACTATAACCCTCCTGCCAGCTCTCCCTTTTTGAATGAACATGCTCAAGCAAAAATATTTCCTCTGCACAACACCTTCCCCTCAGGGGAATGGTTCGAATTTTGCCTCAAATGAAGCAAAACCAGGGAACTGAGCTGGAGTTTCCTGCAGTGCAAGATTAACAATCATCTGTCATGGTTTGGTTCCATTATCTTTTTGCAAAGGGAGATATGTACGCAGGGGGATTTTTAAAATATACATATTTCTGTGCATATAAATTGTGTCCCTCTTTGCACTCTTCTACTTGGCTGAATAGTGTGTGTATACCTAGCAGCATTGCCCAGACTTTGCATGCATAAATATTGTTGTGTACATTTTTTATTGCCCCTCGCTAAATAGCTCGATGTATGTGGAATGCAGTGACGTTTATGCTCAGGCAGCGTGCAAGGCTGTGTGAGGATGTGCCCTGTGTGATGGGGGAAGGGGATCTCCTTGACACAACACTTATTAGTATCATCAATCACTGGGGATGTCATTTCCAAATTCCCTTTCCCTTACCTAATGTGCTAAACCTAATTCTTTATCACACTAAAAAACCCAGCATGAAAGATGGAAGTGATAATAAGAGATGGCTTGCTCTACTGTACAGGGGCAACGTCAGCCTGGCACCTTCTAGAGGGATTTCCCATTTTCTCTCTCTTTCCATGTAGGGTGCTCTGTATCTGCTCAGCCCAGAGCAATTAGAAGCCCATTGCATCCCTATTTTACTGTGGCTTTATTTACTTCTGGCTCCTCAGTGAGCTCTTTAGTTGCTGGAGTCCCTAAGTCAAGTATTTTGCTTGATTTGTCTGCTGATGCTTTCTTGGCTTATTTGCTAATGCATCCAGTTCAGGACACCTCCGAAATGCACTTCATTAATCTCAACAACCTAAGGCTATATATTTTTTTTCCAAGTCTGGCACTAAATTAGCCAAAGACCTTTATCAAAAACTTGCCTTATTGAATTTGCCAGTCCTGTCCTACTTGTGCAAATAATTGCATGTCTGTAAAACTTGGAGGGAGGAAAACAGCAAGCCATGTGTGGAATCTAAACTACTGACTCAAAACTCCCATCCCTGCCATGGACAGTGCCAGGATCTCATCCTATATGTGCTGTCACTTCCATTCCATATGCAAGTCCTCTTCCTGTCAATGAATTTAACTCACCAGAAATCATTGATTTCCCTAGGTTTGTTCACAGGATTGTCCTACACTCAGACTCCTAATGGAATTAATGGATCTGCATCCTGCCCACATAGATTATAGCACTGGATTTGGGCTCAATTATTCCTGGACGTGACTTTGTTTTACCAGCAGACCTTAAAAAGACACAGTGTCTTCTCTCAGTTGTCAGAAAGGGGATGCCAGAGAAAGAGAACAGAAACATATGAAAACTGTAATAGTAAGGCAGGTCAGAAGCCTTAGGAGGAGATGACCTTCAAAATTTCATGCACATTAAGGGGAAAAAAAACCCAAACAAGCTCTGTTTTTCATAAAGCAGGGAAGGTGCATCCAGTGTGTAAAGCTTTTAACACGAGCATAAAGAATCAGTGAAGCCTGACTCTTAGATTTGATGAGAAATGAGTAAGACTCAGAATACAAAGTTGTCACCAATTAGCAGCATCTCAGCTAAAAGTGTGAATTTTTAGAAAACTGAAAGGATTCAAGAGTTATTTTTAAACAAAGAATGGGTTTTAATCAGATGAAGAGATGGATATTAGGAGGGATGCTTTATGAAGATCCTTTGGGAATTTGGTTGCTTAGTGCCAGGAGGAATGGTACTTAACTAATTTTTTTTTTTGGTCTCTTTTTTTTTTTTTTTTTTTCACTTTGAACATCTGTAATTCCCCCAGTGACTACACAGTCCCTCGAGCTAGACCATTGGGACTCTCTGTTCAGATGCTGTCATGATGACATCAGTCTTTGTGGCAGCATAGGAAATATCATTGTGGATCAAGGCACACCAGGCTGGAGATTCACCAAAAGCAGAGT